GAAGCCTCTTATTTGAGCAAATATCCAAAGACAGCAGTTGTGAAACTGAAGTCCAACCTTCGTCCCTTATTCTCAAATTGTCTTCCTCACAATTGCCTGTATGGAAGTGATTAAAAGAGTAAGAAATGAAACAACTATTGATGCATAAACAAAGCTTCACCCAACAATTGCAACCTCAGCGCAGATCATCTCTACATTCTGGCTCTGGAAGTTACTACAGAAGTGATGTGACAAGACCCTACAAGTGATGATCACAAACTTATTTTGTGCATCAATTTCATTAGAGACATGCTATATAAACCTAAACAGCTACTGTCCACACTTTGTGAGCACTGACAACTCTGAGCTGCAGGCTTCCAGAAGTCACTGTCAGTAGGAAGAAACCTCTTTAGCTGATAGCATGAGACTCGAAATACATACACCCCCCCAGGACTTCAAGTGGGATGGAAGAGGAGAGGGTTTTTGTATCTTCAGCTATTGCAATAAATTGTGTGCTACTGATGTAATACTTGGTTCCTGTTACGCATTTTAATCTATCTATTCGTTCGTTTATTTTACCCAGTCCCTCTTCCTCAGATCACAGCTGTCAGGCACCAGCGTTTCTTTTAATCCAGGAAGTACCTGTATTCTCTAGCTATCAGCAACGTTTTCTGCAGTAGATGTAAAGCAGCTCTGACAAACACGCTTCATGGTGCTGTCCCAGCCCGTTACTTCTGACAGGCTCAACCCTGCGCAGCTCTCACCGAGCCGGCAACGAGGCACCGGCACACCCCAACCCCACAGGCCGGGAGCTGTCCCAAGCTGCGGTGCAGCTAATCCTGTGCCACCTCTCCTTTCTGGCAGCCCGGCTCTCCGGTATCAGTGTCTCTCGGACCGCTCGGGCTTCTTCCAACCTCACGCTCGGCTTCGGTTCGCTCTAAAATCAACCCAACTCGGCGCTCACCTGCCGGGGTTTTGAAGGGCGCTGACAGGGACCGGGGCTGTCCCCACCGACCAGCAGCGGCCGGAGCGGACACCGGCCCCGGCCCGCCCCGCTGACAAGCCGAGAGTGCGCCGGAGACGCGGACTCGGGTTACGCGGCGCCGGCTCCAGGCGAGGCGAGGCTGGGAGCAGCGCAGCCCCAGCGGGAGCCGCTGACACCGCTCCCACACGGGCCCTGCGCCCCGTCCCGGCCGCTCGTCCCGCAGCCGCCGCCCCTCCGGGGCCTGTCAGTGCGCCGGGACACCCACACCCCCCACTTCCCCCCGGAGAACGGCTTCGTCCCACACGGGAGCGCCGCGCCGGCCCCCGGGCCAGGCTCCCTCCGCACCGCGCCGGCCCGCCTGCCGCTCACCCGGAGCTGTCAGCGCCTCTCACATGGCGGGTCCCCGGCCCGGCTCCGGCCCGCTCCCACCGCCGCTTCCCGCCCGCTCCCGCAGCTCCTCGCACCCGGAACTGGTTCCGCTGGCAGCGCTTCCGCTTCCTGGTGACGTGCGGCGGGCGGAGCCGCCGGTGCACCGGGCCGGGCCCGTGCCGTGGCCTCCCGTGTGCGGCAGTGGCAGCGCTTAAGCTTCAAGCGAGGCCGTGCGGGGCAGAGCCGCTCCCGGGGCTGCGGGTGGCGCCGCGCTGTTAGAAACGCACCACAAGCGGGCAGTGGCAGGAGGTGAAAGCGGTGGAGATCACCGTGAGCGGCTGGAGCTGAGCTGCCCCCCGCGGGGTCTGTGCTCGGGCGTACCCGGCTGTGTATGTGCAGAGAGGGGCCCTCACCCGCGGTGAGCCGCTGCCTGCGCGGGGCAGTGCAAGGGAGGAGTTAAAGAGTTCGCCCGTGTCCCTCCACCCTTACCCCTCACTCGTTGGCTGGCATCCTGCACCTGCTGGTGGATTCACTGCTGCACCACACAGCTCATGGTGTGAGTCAGGAGTCTGGTGCCACTGGGTACCGCCAGAGCACCCGCATGGTCCGGCCTTGCACATCACCTCCGAGGGGTGTCTTTCTCTCGCTATAGAACAGATGGAAGAGGTGTTGATGGGTTACCAGATAAAGGAGCAGACGGGGAGAGCATCCTGACCGGGGGCACAACAGGCACACGAATGGCAACTACCTCAACACCAAAGAAATGTGCCCAATCATTCACTTGCTGTGTCAGGAGAATCAGGTTTTAGTGTTCTCTTCGGCCAGGCTGGCATGTGCTCAGTGTTTCAAGAAGACACGTTACTAGACACACTTTTTCTTTATATATTTAATAAAGTTATATATCAACAACTTTTGGATTTGTACTTTTGTTTGCGCTCTTATCGTTTTGGCAAAAGTGAAATATTAAATACTAGTACTAGACATGCATTCCTTTCATTCAAGCTTAAGAAAACATTTACAAAGTTGACAGGTAACATTTATTAAAACATGTTATACAAAAAAGGGGCATGGGACTCTTCTATAAGAAGAAAATATTGAACAGTAACATTAAATTAAAACCATGCTGTACAATTAGGACAGCAATATTTATAGACAAAACTATCCAACCTCTGCAATACAGGCATAACATCTCACAAAATATCAAGATATGCAAATTTACTATTATAAATGACTTGTTTAGAATAAAAACTTATAGCTCATTAAGGAAGATTCACTTGACTTGCATAAACAGTTACATTTCTGGAAGAAATATGGAATCCCATGAATAATAAAACAAAGGAGCAGCAATTGACAGACACAGGCTTCAAGCAAAAATCAGAACTTACAATTTAATCACATTAAAATATATCATCATTTTGTTTTCCAGCATCTTCCCCATGGGCACTGGCAGTTTACAGCTAAAGAAGCCTAGAGAGCCAATAAAGCATTTAAATGACAAAAAAAAAACCAACTTTCCTATGTTGTTTTGAGAAAGGTTCTGATTCCATTAAAGGAAAACACTCAGTGCTGTAGGATCTCATAACTCAGAGACAGGTCTCCTTCCTGGTACCAACACCATGAGATTACAAGACATGAGGTGTCTCCGTTCTTTCAGGCTCAATAATACAGGGATAGCAAGTATTTTTGTATCAAGAAACCCAATACATCAGCCTTTGATCATCTCGCTTCTGATACAGGACAAAGTTTCTCAACCCCAGGAACACTTCAGATGAACAAAAGCTAAGACCAAAACTTGTCCTGACAGTACCTTCCAGAGTCTACCTGCTCACCCATAAAGCAAGGCCATGTTTAAAACCCAGAACAGCAAAAACCCCCAACAGTGGTGTGTGAAATAGGAACCTCCTCCCTTAAAAGTCAGATACGCACCTAAGCAGAGCTCTTAATGCTGTTAACAGCTGAATTTTTCATACTCTTACACAGTTTTTTATGATCAGCTACACAGATTCCATGGTAATTAACATCTTAGTTACAAATTGGAATGCAAAGGAACTTAGCTGTAGTATCATTTTCTTACCACTGATAGGACAATGAATGGCTTCATGGTAGCAGGGAATTCTGAAAGCCTCCTGCGTGTACAATGACTGTTTTCCAGAAGACATTCACCTCACTGCAGTCAACAGCAAGCAGTGTAAAAATGCACAGATGTTACTAAGCTGTATCATTAAAGATCATGAAGCTTAAGGGAAGACTAATGAAATTCACCATATACATATGCATTCCTATTATCTATTTATAGGGATTGCTTCCTTCCTCCCTACAAACAAGAAGTAATTTCTTGTGTGTTGAACAAGACCACTCCGCTAGCAAAGATTAAGAGCTTGACAAGAAGCTGCATCTGCAGGTCTTGGTTTACACTGCACAACTCTATCAGCCATAAACTGCAGGGTTTCAGTAGCAGGGGGCTGCAAGGCTGACAGAGTATCTCCAGTTGGAAGGGACCCATAAAGGACTACCTAAAACTGTATGACCAAGGGCATTGTCTGGACACTCCCTGACATACAGCAAGAGGTTACAAACTGCCCTGTGATGGTCACAACAGGTCCTAGCCTGCACTGAAGTGCATGCAAACGATCCACTGCATGCCAGAACTTCAGCCAGAGATGCGCACAGTGCCTCTGCTCAAACATGTTTAAGGAAGAGTGGCAGCTGCTAGCAAGAGGTGCATGGAGACACATAAGAAGATACTCCCAGGGAAACACATGTGTAAACGTGGATAAACTGAAGAGCTGCCCTTGGGAAACACGTGGAGAAGACACTGAGGACATGTATAGACACACACAGCAGGACACACTCCATGCCTGGGATATTCACTTCTGAAGGGACTTTGGCCTGTAGCTAAGCCATGCCAAAGCAGGTGCACGTCTGAAGCCTTCAGGAGAGCCAAGCTGGAACAGACACATCCCTGATGGAACTATGTGGTGCCACGACGACAATCAGTGACAACAACCAGCCCAGAGCAGCACAGGACACCCACTGAGATGAAGAGTGGCAAGACAAGTCAGTGTGGCAATGAGCCCAACCTCCTGAGTGATCTGTCACCTCACTACAAGAGCTGGCACGGGCTGAATGCAGCTCTCAATGAAAGCAAGGGAAACAATAGGAGATTACAAAGGCAGGGAGAGGTGTGAGCCTTAAACTGAGACTGAGGAAAGGGAAGGACAGAGGTTTCCTTAAGTGTTTAAGTAATTTCTTGTTATCTCCCCCCCCCCCAGTACCTGAATCAGCGATCAGAGGTTTGTCAAAGGGCAATATAGTAAATTCATGAAAACCAACACAAGTCAATTGTTTTGCCTGTGATGAGCAAAAGGATTTTAGACATGTTATCTCAAGCTTTCCTTACACCATCATTCCCATCAACCTCATGACAATCGTATCAATATTTTCCTGCAATCGACTGGTTTCATGTCAACTAACATCAAAAAGCCAAGTGCTACAGGATCAGCGGAGCAACATTTGTTGGACTTTTAGGACAATGTCATAAAATGGGGTAAAACAGTAATAAGAAATATTATAAAGTTACTATTCATGCTAAGTCATTAAAAGAGGACATGGTTCTATAATATGATCTACTGGACCTGTTATAAAACCTTTAAAGTGTCTCTCGCAGTACATTTTATTTTAAAGCTTTATTTCAAAGTAGTCTAACTGCAAATAGGAGCAACGCTTAACTTTGAAATGTCCCATATAAAAGTCATTCCAAGCTGGTAAAAGAAACAGTTTTGCTGGCAGCTCTGTAGGATAGTCTGGGTTTAACAGAAAGAGGTGTTTTGCTTGACCGTGTTTTTCAGCCTGGTGCCTCTGACCAGCCTTTTTGATGGTTAAATGGGAAGAGGCACCCTTAACCTTTGTATGCAACACTGAAGTGACAATTTGAAAGGGGTTGAGAACTAATGTAATACACAAGATTACTCCTGAAATGAGTATGAGAATACCTTCCCTCGAGTGTGATGATGGTACCTGCAGAAATGACACCCTGTATGTAGTAAGGCCTTGCAGAATGGAAAAATAGGGCCACTGAGTGCAAGAACCCTCTTTCTTCTACACTCATGTAAACAGGCAAGCATTATAATTTTTTTTTTTCAATATTAAAAAAGACAGTATTAGCAGTGTGGAAACAAACCATAAAGGGAATATATTTCTAAGTTTAAAAAACATACTTATAAAGTTTTATGTTTTTTCCTCTTTTTTTTTTCTTTTCCTTTTAAATACAAAGTGCTTCTATACATTAAGCAGGTTACAGTGTTAGTGAGCAAATCCCTGTTTAGTTACCTTGATTACAAGGGTTATATATGGCCACCATGGTATACTGTAGAGTTCAATTAAGTGCTAAGAACAGGAACTCTGTGGTGCTGACCATTTATGCCCATTGCCAGCAACGGGTTCATCCTATTTGGGAATATCCGTTTTAACAAAATTCCATATGAAAAATATCTGAAGCATTAGAAGATTAAGAGCCTCTCAAGAAAATTAAAGTTTGTAAGTAGAATGTCAGAAAAGAAGCTACAGTCATTACAGCCCACTGAGTAGTAAAACCCCAGCTTGTACCAGACGTTCACATTCAACATACAGTCTGGTTGCATCTTAAGACAATTTGTAACTGGGAGTTTAAAAAAGCATCTAAATAGTAACTATCTTTGTGTGGTTTTGCTTCACCATACAGGGTCATCTGTTATGTATGTATCTGTTAAGTATGTTATCCTGCATATCACAGTATCTAACATATAAATTTGGGCCAGACAGGCTTAGGCCTTTGGTGCTGGGTAACTTCCCCCTCCTCATGTTACCAGCACTGTACCTGGACATCAACTCTTTGTGTCATAGTCTGTGTATGCTCTGAAGGCTCTTTCCTTTTTATGTTTCAGTAAACTACAAAAAGGGTTAATTGCTTTTGCACAGGACTGCATTAAGCTTTCAACCCCAAAATCCTGTTGCCACCTTTAAAATTGATGCATTCACTCTACCTGCAGAGCTGGCAGCATCTCTCGGAACTACAAATGCTCCTCCATCTATCGCCAGGAATGAGAGCCCAGCACATAGATCCTCATCCTAACAAAGCAGGAGCACCACTTCCCCAGCAAACCCCCAGACTTCAGACATGAGCACGGTACCATGTTCTCAGTACCATTAATAGATCCAAACACCGTAATTCCTACTTTTTTTTTTCCCACAAGCAACTTCACCTTCAGAGGTAATCAACCCGGGCTGCTTGTGATCACATGTACAGTCACAGTAGTTCAGTACCAAGAAGCTGTGTTATAGTTCTTCCTGTTCAAAGAGTAAAAGAATTAAAAGTATAAATACCTATCAATGACTAAATAATTTTCCTAAAGCAGGTTTCTAAAACTAGATAGAAGTTCTCAAAGAAGTTTTTGTACCAATAAAAAGTCAATTTGGGAATCCACAGAGTTTGGTACTTGCTACTGTAGTAAACCACAAAAATCTGACCAGAAAACTACAGTTTGAATGTTTGATTATTTTGGATAAGTTCCAAAAATTACTTTTTTTTTTCCTGACAGAACATTTATTACACACCCTTCTAGAAGCTCTCACGGTGTAGCAATCAAAATCAAGTCAAGCCAAGAGTCATATGGCATTAGGCCCTAGAGGAGTAGATACAAATTATGCTTAATGCAGACTGATGTTTATATAGTGCTCAACTATATTTAAATGCATTACAGACACCAAATAGAAATCAGCACAAAATTAGACATTTGTTTTACTGAAGATGGATAATAAAATGGAAGACAGATAAAGGAAAGCCAAACCATATTTAACACAGCCTTTCATTAAGCAATACAGCAAAGGCTATTTAACAATGTAAACTATCTAATGATGCACATTAAGTATGTTGGCAGTCTCCAGTTTGAGGTGGAATTCTAACTTTTTGTCATTAAAATGTGAATCCTATCATCATGAGGGTGCTGAGGCGCTGGCACAGGGTGCCCAGAGAAGCTGTGGCTGCCCCATCCCTGGCATTGCTCAAGCCCAGGTTGGACATGGGCTTGGAGCAACCTGCTCTACTGGAAGGTGTCCCTGCCCGTGGCAGGGGTTGGAGCTGGATAAGCTTTAAGGTCCCTTCCAACCCAAACCATTCTGTGGTTCTGTGATATGCACCCTGGTTTTGTCATCCTAGTTCTCTTCCTCATTAAGTAGGGCTACTTTAATTCTTGCTTCATCTAAGCATTTGCAGGATTTGGGTCAATTCTGAGCTTTGAATTTAGAAGACTTGGGAAAATCAACAGGGCTTCTAAATACTGCTGCAATTACAATAAACGTCACAGAGACCTTACAGACCTCACTTTACAAGCACCTTTCAGATTAACTGTTTGCACTTTGAACACCTGGAGTAATACTGTGGAAAGTAAAATAAGAGTTTGGTCTGTTTATACCAGCATAATCATTACAACGTGGAGGGCAGGGAGAAGATTGAGAATTTACAATAGCAAGTACCAGACATGATTTGCATAATTAATTTGCTTACTTTAATAAACAAACGTAAGCACTGATGCCTTAGTTCATCTCAGTAGTACTCTGCTCAGCTTTAGAAGCTTGGTATGACTTGGTACAGGAGGTCACATGCCGATGGAAACTGTCCCGCCACATAAACCTTTTCCCACAGATGTTACACTCGTACGGTTTTATGCCTGTATGAATTTTCATATGGCCTACGAGATGGTGTTTCATTTTGAACTTCTTACCACAGACACCACAGCCATAAGGTCGGAGGCCAAGGTGCATACTCATGTGCCGATCTCTTTGACTTTTGTGTGTAAAGCTTTTTCCACACTGACAGGGATACAGCTTATCAGCATGCGAGAATCCAGTGAGGGACGTTTCTTCTTTAATTCCTGTAGCCATTTCAATGCCTTCACTATAACCTGCTGCCATCATAAGATCCTGTCTGTGAGCATTTATATTTCCATCTGCCCTTTCACCAGAAAATTCTTCCATAGAAGAGCCATAGAAGTCAACTTGTTCATCATAATTACTTTCATCTGCCTGCTCATCAAATTCTGTTTCCATCTTTTTGTCACCTATATGAAAGTCTTCAACACCTGAAGACTGGATTGAATGATCTGCCTGAATGGCATTCATGGATTCAGACACCTGGTGTTCATCGTAAGGATTATCAACACCTTCACAGTCTTGTTCAAATCTTTCTGGTTTCACATGGATCCATCGCTTATGAGACATGATGCTGGGTTTGCTATACATAGGCCTGGTGTACTGATAATCTGCACTATCACTAGTTCCTTCTTCACCATCCTGACTTGTCATTCCAGTGCTAAGTCTATCATGTTCTGTTGAAGAATTACTGGGAAGGTACTCGTGTTCCGTCAGCTGACACGACAGTTCATCTTTAGAGCTCTCTTCTTCGTTTTCGCCATCTCTTAGCTCCTGCCCTTTATGGAATTCCGGCTGTCCTCCAGAGCCAAGTTCAAAGGTTTCAACCAGGCCGTTGTAACTACTACTGCTCGGGGACTGATGATCACTGCCATGATTCATCTTCTGACACAGAACTGTTGGGTTCCCCTCTAGCACTTCAGTGCATTTATCCACCACATGCCACATCTGAAGGAAACTCGCTGCTGTCAAGTAACTAACAATTTCAGGAGCAGGCATTACCAGACGACCAGTATAGGTAGACAGAAGAATGTTTTCAAATACCCTGGGATTCATCACATCAGGCAGGACTATTCTTCTGCTGTTTTTCAGGAGAACCTGATCACAGAAGTAAGGTGAACTGGCTGCAAGAACAGCTTTATGGGCTCTGAAGAGATGGCCCTGAACTACAATGGACACATCACATAGTTGTCCTTGCTGGCGCTGCTGGTTTAACTTCTGCAAAATGGTGCTAGAAAAATCTGGAAATTCCACTCGAAAAGAGCTTGACCCAGACTCCATTTCATTACAAATTTAGTGCTGTGCTGCAAGGAAAAGGAAAAATAAAATCAGAAATTCTGACAGTACTGACCTTCCCATTTCCTTCTACACTTTTTCTGTTTTCTTTAACAAATAACACTCAAGCAGACTCATATGGAATCAACCCAGCATCGTCTGGAACCTGTGTCACCTCTGCACTTCTATTCTCCTACCCCACCACATTTCTCGAAGTCGTACTTGGGCCACGAATTGCTCTGCCAGCATATTTTGTTGTGTTTCTTGTACCCAAGAGGACTCATCAAGAGGAACTACAAGAAGCATGGTACCCAGCTGAGACAGATTAAGCACTTCAAGCATGAATTTAAGATAACAAAACCAGTTATTTAATGAAACTCTAGCAGTAAAGTTCTAACTCCAGGTTGTCCCAGAGTTTGTAACAGCAAATGAGAGATTCTGCTAACAAAATCATCTCACCGATCCCAAATAAAGACTGATGCTACTCTTATGAAATATTCCACTTTAAATGAAGTTTCCAAAAGCCAAGATACTGATTCATACAATGGCAAAGGCAGCACAGAGAGAACCCAAGTGAAAATGAGGCTTATGACTCTTCTAGTGACAATTTCTTGTCATTTTACTAACTGAAAGGTGCGATAGCAACATCTTGCACAGCTGCAGGACTACAATCCAACTGTGTAATTCCAATCTTTTTCAGATGTTATTGTAACATTTCTTACTCTAAGAAAAACCTTACGAATCTAAAATATTAATCAGGAAAAGGATCTCTCTACTGTACAGAATTTTATCTGCAGGCACCTTGCATTTGTAACAGTGCAACAATTATACAGTGGAAGCTCAGCTAATAGCTTAGTTTTTAATGTCTTTATTCCCACATGATCCAGATGTCTTACTACACAGGTAACAGTCTTTTAAGCAGTAATTATTTAAAATGTCTACTTTAAATTTCAAATTTTAGATAAATTTACATGTTGTTACCATTAGAAATGATGACAGAAATTTAAATGCAGCGATGAACGACCAACATTAACTGCCTGAATAAGTTCAACTTGTGCAATTTTTCAGTCTGACAATGTATAAATGGAATACAGTGGAATTCTAGAAGAGCCATGGAGTAGCAAGCAGATTTCTCTGACATTCATCTGTTTCTCATCAGTGAGAACGTGTCAAAGTTTCAACAGACACACCTGAGAGATAATACATCGTAAATTAGCAGACAGTGTATACATACAGAACATAAAGCATGTTGTTAATATGGTGTAAAACCAGAATTTGCATTACAAACAGTTGGAGGACTCTAAAATGAAAGCGCTTCTATGGAAATACAGAATCAAGACACTAAGATTATGAATCCCTGCTACAGAGAGCCTGCACAACAACCGCAGGGCTTTGCACACAGTTATGTAACCAGCAATAGAAAACTGCTCTTTTGGTGCACTTTCGTGTTAAAATGCTGGCACGTCGGCAGAAACACGTGAATGCTGAATGCAGAAGGAGCAGCAGAGCTTGCTGCCAAGATGCAGACAGCACAGGAGGGATTATGTAGCTCACTCAATGTTTAATCAACAGCTCATGGTTGCATAATCCCTTCCTTACCATTCTCATCCGTTCTCCAAATCATATTCCTGACAGCTCTCTCCCACTCCTGAAAAACCTCAGTGCCCATCTCCAAAGGTTCAGAGCTAGAGAAGGATGCCAAGCATATGGAGCACAGACTATACAGTTACCTTAAAGAAAGGTGACCAGGCTTTCCATAGCAAAGAGCATGGGAGTCAGAAAGCCATCGAGGCTTCAATAAATACAGACCCAAGCTCCTCAGAAAACTGGCATCTTTCACAGAATCATGGACACTCTGCTTTTACAATTCCTCTTCATTTTTCACTAAAAGCATAGTATCAAACTGACTTTTATGAATGCCTCTGAAGAAAACAGACTGCCATTTATGAAAGCCATTTGTAACCATAAATAATCACAGCAACAGTCCAACGAAAAAAAGTATCTTTTTTGATCATTTCCCTTCTTCCTACAGTCATTTCCAATGCTGGGTAATGGGAGGAAATAGAAGGACTAAATATTTTGTAGTTGAACTATGTAACTTGCAGTAAAGACGCATTCACTTTACGTTTTCACAAATCGTTATCGTTTTACTGCCTGAAACAATTGTTTAACTTAAGAGGTGTTTACCAAGTACCTCAGATTTGACAGGAGGATCAGGCATCATTTATGGGGGGGGGGGTGTGTGTTTAAACACATGGTGGCACAAGGCAGTTTTCCTACAAATACCAACTCACCTAAATCACAGGTAAACAGTTACATTCTGCTGAGACACAAACCAACACGCACCAACTGAGGAAACAGCTTAAAACTTGCAGGTTTAGCACATCACTATTCTCAGGTGTTTTGACTAACAGCGTTATGAAAGAAGAAAGCCCTTTATATCACAAACTATTACTCCCCCTTCAGCCCTTACAACTTGCTTTAAGTATTTAATACTAGAAATAGATTTTAAAAATACTTCTTTGGAAAAGGAAGCTCTGAAAAGCTTGCAGGTCATCTGACCTTCAGGTCGTTACCTGCATAAAAGCAGAACACCACCATTAAACTTACTGTCTTCAGCTCTCTTCACTTTTACTCTTGGAAGCATCAGCCCTGTTGTGTACCCACAGAGCCAACCCACTTCAGGAGACCACATCAGCTACTGGTGTTTCTCCAGAGAGCAACAGAACACCATGCCAGCCACTTCAGTTGTTATCACCACTCCGCTTACAACTTGACAATGTTACTTAAGCATATTTAACAGTTGCCTTATATCTCGTAAGCATTACACAATACCTATTTTAGTCTTATCAAACATACTTTCTTATGCAGATGCAGTTCTTTACCTTTCAGAACGTTCCCAGATTTAAGACTATTTTTCAACACTTGTCTGCTAAAGATAAACCTTCAGGACACATTCAATGGAAATTTAAAGGGACATGCTTATAGACCTTATCTAGGTGCTGCTAATCTAAACTGGCAGCTTTAGCCAGCACTCATGAGGCCACCACACAAACAACTCCTGATGGAAGCAAACTTTTATATATTTTAAATTTTCATGTAAACGGAATCAACCAAAACGCAAATGAAGTAATTCTTATTAATAAAGCCACACTTCACTTTTACTTCCTCCTGCTCTGCCTGCATCTTCTTTATCCCAACTCATAAAGAACAAAGTCCTTTTAAGTAATTAAAACCCCACAGCCTCCACTCTGAAACACTGAGTGACACATACAAGGCAGATACTACTCACTCAAGAACAAAACTCCTCTCAGAGGCGCCTGCAGGCAGTTACTTCACCTCCCCGTACGTACTGCTACCGGAGAATCAACTTATTTACCTGCCCCGGCCGCGCCGCTGGGGCCCCGTCCCGGAGGCTGCAGGCCCAGCCAAGCCCCTGCACCCCCACAGCTGACGAACAGGGCCCAGCACCCGCTCCCACCCGCACCCCGCGGCCGGCCGCGGAGAGGCACCCGGCCGGGAAGCGGCGGGGGCGGGGAAGGCCTCACTCGCCGTTCCGCGCCGCGCTGCCCCCTCCCTGCTCCCCCCCCCGGAGCGGGTCCGCGGGCCCCGTGCGGCGGCAGCGCGGGCCGCGCCTCACCTGCGGGCCCCGGGGTCTGTCGCATAGCGGGGATCGACCCGGCCCAGCGCGCCGAGCGGCAGCACTGCCTCCGCGCACAGCCCGGCCGCCGCCGGAAGTACCCCCCCTCCGCTTCCTGTGCGGCGCTTCCGCGTACAGCGCACGTGACGGATTGGGTCGGACCTTTTGCTTCCGGCCTGGGCTCCCCCCCCTCCCCGTGGCGGCGCCCCCTGCTGGCCAGGCGCAGGAGCGTCCGAGCCCGCGGCGCTGCCGGTTCCCCCTCGGTGCAGCGGCCGCGGTTCCCCGCTTTCCGCCCGCCTCCGGAGCCCTGTGGGGGTCCCTGAGGGGGGAACGCCAGAGTGCATTAGGGTAGGGTTTAAAGAACACCCAGGCAGCGCACTGCGTGTAATCTCTCATGCTAGCCAGTATCTACGGGAGGTAATCCTGCTTGAAAACAGGCCTTAATGGAGGGATCAGTTTCTACAGGTCACTTGTAGCTGCATTGACTTCAGAAAGCAAATTTAATGCAAAATCGAGCCCAGGAAAACAGCAGGAGCAGGAAAGTCACCCACATCACATGTGGTACACTGAAGAGATGCATTTGCCCCGCAGGGACTGTGATAATGTGTAATTGCTGGGAAGATGATTTACTTTCTATGGGTTGGTTTGGGAGTTGATGTGGTTTCTAATACAAGCAGTCAATAAGAATAACGTTGTCACCGCATAATTTCCCCGAGGAGTTCTCCTGTTCCTCCGCTCCACTGATGCTCTCCATGGCAGTGCTTGCAGCTCTACCAGAGAGGCCCACCACAGAGCAGTGCCTCATTCCCCTGTCTCTGCCTTGCGTCCTTCATGTGTTAAGGACAGACACCGATCCGCTATGGGACAAGGGCTGTTCTATGGTCAGACCATGAGCTGGGTGACGAGCACATACTTGAACTTTCCAAAGTTAAGATGAGATTCCACAAGAACGATTTATGGGATGAAGTCCAGAGGAGGGCCACGAGGATGATACTTAAACAGGGGAAGTTTAGATTGGATATAAGGAGGAAATTCTTTCCTGTGAGGGTGGTGAGGCACTGGAATGGGTTGCCCAGGGAGGTCCATCCCTGGCAGTGTTCAAGGCCAGGTTGGATGAGGCCTTGGATGATATGGTTTAGTGTGAGGTGTCCCTGCCCATGGCAGGGGGGTTGGAACTGGATGATCTTAAGGTCCTTTCCAACCCTAACTATTCTATGATTCTATGAAAACAGATGAACAACTTTGAGCTCCCCACACAACCCCGTGGCCTTCATAACAGTGTTATTGTGCTTGGATATTAAGAGAATTCATAAATCTGCAGGTAGCTGTTCTATTTCTATCAGGAATCAAGCCTCTAAACAAAAAGTTAACACAGTTTTGGACAATCTCTTAAGCTAGGAAGAGGGGTGACTGAATAACAGGCATTTTTGATAAAGTAAACGACTGAGTTTGCGACTCTTGCTCTAAGGAAAAGCTGGAGCCGTTTGGTCTCGTGGCACTAGGTTGTACGGCATCCTCTTGCCGTTGCTGAGATCGCAGCAGAAGACCTGTGTTGCCTCTCAGTAAGCAGCTAAGTTTGGCTTCCCAAGTTTCTCATTCAGTCCAATGGGAAAGAAAACACGACGGAATCTTCTCCACAAACTCATTTTGCTGTCTCGCACACGCAGTGACTCTCTCCACTTCCCCTGCGTGTCCTGTTGGGATTCCCCGGCTCCACCCGGGAATCACGGAAAACCAGTTGTGACCCCGCGCCTGCAGCGCCAGGGAGCAGCATCAATGGCGCTTCCACCGCCAGCTCCCAGCCGTTCCGGGGCCGGGGATGCCGGCAGGCAGCCGGGGGGCTCGGCCGTGCCCTCTGCCGCCCCAGGCCCCCCCCCCACCGCTTCCCGCCTGCTCCAGCAGGTGGCGCCCCAGGCCGGGCGCGCGCCTTTACCTCAGGACTGAGCTGACCCGAGCTGGCGCTGGCTCCGCTCCGTCGCTTGGGAAGCGGGCAGGCGGTAACCTCGAGGGTTTCGAGTCATCACAGAGACCTCAGCTGGGTCCGACTGCTCGCCGGGAGAAATGTGGCACCGAAACGTTTGTAACGGGCCGTGAGGGACCCGGCGCTCGCCTCCCGTTCCCAATCCCAAAGCGGTAACCCGGAAACCTGCCTCCCGTGAGGCCAGAAGGCACCGGCGGAGCAAGGCCGAGGTGCAGCAGTCAGCACACGGCGGGTGGGGGTCATTCGTAGGCTGCAGAGGTCTCATCCTGCCTCTCCTTAACGTGTCACCCGAGCTGGAGCAACAGAGTTACCTTGAGCGAGAATCACAGGCGGGTTTGTGTTGGAAGGGACCTTAAAGCTCACCCAGTGCCAAGCCCTGCCGCCATGAGGGACACCTTCCACTAGAGCAGGTTGCCCCAGGCCCCGTCCAGCCTGGCCTTGAGCACTGCCGGGGATGGGGCATCTTGAAACACAGAAAGGAAGAGAGAGCAGTTCCACAGGGGGTGAATTCCTCGAGATGGAACCCGTACCCGTTTTATCAGGTATTACATCTGAACATTTGGTCTGTGCATGTATTTTCAGGTTTAAAGGTGCACATTCACAGGTTGTAAGTCCATATACTTCCTACATTAATAGAAACCCCAACAAGAACTTTAATGCAAACATGAAGAAAGGGAAAGCTTATATTCAATACAACACAATTATCTCCTTGTCTTTTGTAGTCATTATCAGAATACTTTAGCAAATTAAGCAATATATGAGAATGATAAGCCATAAGGCAAGGAAGTTTTGAACGGGGAAAGACCTATTTTCAGCTGAAATTCAGAAAGGAAACAATTACATTATTGCAGCTGCTGCAGAAGAGCCCATAACAGTGGCAGGTCTGTGTCTTTCTCGTCTAAAAGCTGATTCTCCTTTGCTGAGAAGCAGCTTCTGTGAACAGAAACTTATGGTGGGTTCAGCTGGGTGAGGACATGCCTAAGCATATGCTTTTGAGAGCTGTGACATCTCTTCGTCAGCAATCTCAGGGCAGGCTCTAATCGATACTTGAATTGTGTCTCTTGGTGGTAGTCTATGTACAGCCTATGTGTTAGCAGCAGCCAATACAAGATGCTCACTACATTAGAGTTCTATAGTTACCCTTATCTAATGCTAATAGATAAAAGCCATAGAAATATGGCTCAAAAAGCCATAGAAATGTCTCAGAATGTCTCAAAAAAGAGTTCTTGGTTCACAGTTAGACTCTGAAGAGTTACCAGCAAGATGGGCATTTTTCCTCACTTGGCATGTTAACCACTGGAGACACAAGGCCAAGACACTGTGACCCTACCACTATACTTCAAGTTTTATTGTCACTGGATTTGTCTAACACAAGGTTGGTCCACGGGGAATCTTACAGTCCCCTTCCAATTTATGCAGGGTTTACAGTATTTCTAAAAATCAGAAAGTAAATATAAAGAAGCCTTAAAAGCCTTCAGGTTTATACAGTGTGTTCAGCTGATGCCCCAAATAGATCATAAGTATTTATCATGCCTGTCCCCATTTGGTTTGGGTTTTTTTCTTTGTTCAGGTTTTGGTTTTAGGTGGTTTTGGGGTGGGCAGTCTCATGGACCAAACCTTCATGCTAACAGAGATGAGAGGTTTGGGGCCAGGGGCAGAGTGCTGCTGCATGTTCTTTTGACAGACCAGATTAGCAGGTTTTGCTTAGCATTTTGTATGCCAGAGAGAAAACTCCTATCAAGAAAGCAGGCCCTTGTGTGATTAGGAAAGGGTTCTTTCACCTTTGACAGGCTATCAAGCTATTGATGTATTTTAAATGGCTTTTAATCAAGGTTTTCTATCTTTGCTTGTAATCTCTTCTGAAAGTTGTCTTGGTTATTTGCTGTACTGTTTGCTTGACCAGAAATTCTTCCTGATCAAACTACCAGGGATGATTATGTCAAGACATCACATCTTACGGTTTTGCAGAACAGGTAGTGAATCAGCTGTTCTGGACCAAATTCCAGATGTTGGTTGCAGATGCCAACACTTTCAACTCTGAGTCAAAGAGGGAAAAAAAAAGGACTAGTTTATTGGAAAGAGCTTTTATATGTGCTTCTGAAACAAGCAGTGCCAGGTACTGTTCTGTGGCTCATGCCACCCATCAAGAATTCTTTTGATGCTCTTTGCTTTCAGCCAAGATGTCAGAAGCAAAAACTTCTTTCCTTCTTTACAATTGCAAAGCACTTAATTTGTTAAAGAGCAAGCTTATGCAACCTTCCATAGTTGTTTTTTTTAGATGACAAATAAACTGTAGTTGAGAGATGAAGTGGCAGACAGCTAACTGAAGCCTATGTTTTGGCCTGTGTGGAGGACACTGTGATCCCACAGTTGCAAGCACAGTGTTGCAAAAATTGAATAATGATGATGCACAGAACAGACGTGAAAGAAACTCACAACAGAAAAGAGCTCAGCCCAACCTTTAGTAGCACAGAGAGCAGCAGACGCTTTCTTGCCTGTCCTGGCAGCCCTTGTTGTGTGTTCTCCACGTGGTCAAGAGGAGAGAGGATTCAGTTTGCTCTTGGTATGGGAGTCAAGCACTCTCTGCTGGTGGGCAAGGATATTCATGTACAGCTTCAGGGTGTTACCTCAAGGGTAATCTAATTTCCAGTCTAAGTGATTGCACAAACCACTTTTGCACAGGTGTATTGTGGACCAACAGTCCACACTAGAATACCACAGTATTAAATCTGCATCTTGCCTGGCTTGGCAGGTAGCTTTGCGAAGCTTTTGGGTAGGAAAACAACCAATGTAATCCACTTTTTAAATGACAGATTTCTTCAAAGAGCCAACAACTCAAATGCAATTGCTGCCATACTCAATCAGCTCCATCCTCTGGTTACAACAGCAGGAAGCCCCCACCACAAAATCTTAAGGCTCAGAAGATAGCCTCTGTAGTTCCAGGTTTATACTGCAAACTGGGGCCTCAGTGAGTCTCTTAAAAGCTCCTGCTGATATCTCTGCTGAATTAGTCAGATGCTGATGATTATTCACCTGCCAGACTCACATCTTTGCCTTGAAACAGATTCTGACTCTGCATTGTATAATCGAAGCCAGCTGGCGTGGGATACATACCTGGTACAGCTCTGAACTGTGGAGTAGAATTCATGGTG